CTCCGGCCCGCGCGGGAGGCGGTGGTGAGGGGGGCGGTGGCGGCGGCGGCCGCAGGGCTAGAGGGAGCATGTAGCGGCCGTGGGAGGCACGAGGCTCCGGGGCGGGCGGGGCCGGGCTGCTCGCGGCGACATGGAAGAGGAGGGCAAGAAGGGCAAGAAGGTGAGCGTGCACGGGCGCGTCTTCCCAGTGCCCTGTGGGGAGCGGGCGAGACCCAGAGCGAGGTGGGCGGAGGGCGGAAGCCTGGGACTGGGAAGAGACTGGGATGGTCCCTTGGGGCCGCCCTTGGTGTGCGGCTGCTGGGCGCTGGGAGATCGAGACAGGAGGTGCTGGACGGGAAGTTCGGCGTGGGGAAGCCCCGCGTGGGGAGGCCCAACTTAGGGAGGCCCGGCGTGGGGGAGGTCCGGCTTCTGGGGGGCCAGGCGTGGGGAGGCCCAACTTGGGGCGGTAGGGGGGCTGGAGGTCCGCCGTGGGGAAAGTGCGGCGGCGCACACACTTAGGGGGGCAGGCTGGACCCACCGGTGGACGGCGTACACTCAGGCCCTGTACAGAGAGCCAGAGGAGCTGGTTTCCGTCGGCGGGGCAGGAGGCAAACCACTGGACAATGGGGTTAGGTGGTCCTCTGCCGGGCCGACGCGACGGGGGAGGAAGGAGCCACGCCTTTCCGCCCCTTCAGGTCAGTGACTCTCCCCAAAACCCAGGCTGTCCACATGGCCTTCCCCGAGGGTCAGTGACTAGGGTCGGCGGAAGAGTCCAGTTAGGGGTAAGAAAGTTTTCAGGATTGGTATATTAGAGACCTTTGGGTGTTAGCTTATTGTAGAAACATTCACTGCTTACTTGACTTTTTTCAAAGCAAGTAAAAGCAAAAGCTCTGCTTCACCATTCCTTGGTTGAGGATTGTTGCTCTACCTGCTATCAACTGTGTGATTTCAGTGAGTTACATTTGGCATTTGGATCTAGGCCACAGTTCAAGAGGCTACTTAGTTTGTGTAGTTTTTAAAATGTGACTTTAATTAGCTACAGTAGTTAATAAACGCAACGTTTTGAGAGTGAAATAACAATGTAGGACAAACTATTAGTTAATAAACGCAACATTTTGAGAGTGAAATAACAATGCAGGATAAACTGCCACTAAAATGCAAAGTCGGTTTTAGTAAAATGTATCTTCAAATACAGGCTTTATGATCTGCTTAAGCTCTTACCTGTCACTGTCCTTTTAAATAACTGTGTGAGTGTGCACTTTTATGCTGAAGTTTAAAGCACACCTTGATAATCCTATGACTTTATTGCTCTTCAGAGACTGCACATCCTTCAATTGAGGATTATGCATCACCTTGTTTTATAAGGTGCCCCACTTTTAAAAGGTCATATTTGAGAATGAGTATAACCAGTGTTCTTTAGGGGAACTCATTTTTTTTACTCATTATTTTGTTATATTGCCAATACACACGTCTTATTTAAGTGCAGTATTGGTTGAAGTTACCTGTAATGATGGTTTAAGTATGAAAAATAACCCAAGAAGGCGATTCATTGTGCAAGCATTATACAGCAGAGGGATGCTGCCCACTGAAAAGGAGTCAAGATGAATTTAATGTTTCTGCTAAGGCTGATAGAAGAGGAGTGGGTGTTAACCCAGTGACCATCCTTAGCAGACACATTTATCTGATTGTAGATGTTCTGCTGCTAGGTTTGGTGCTTTGCTGCTATAGAGCTAACTATTCCATAGACTGCTGGCATCCAGAGCATTTGCAGAGGCCATGTCCCAATGTGCCATGGCTCACCCGCTGTGACAGAGATGGAACTAGAGATATTAAACCTTGACAGAAACACTAAAACATTCAGGGAGAGTTTGGAGAGAGTAAAGCAGTAAAATTTTCCTGAGGTTTTAGAATAGGAGTTAAACCAGTAAAATTCAAGAATTTTAGAGTTACTATGTGGAAAGAATTCATGCACAGATAAGGTTAAGGTTAATGTCATTGTTAATTATAAAAGATAACAATTACTTAGTGGTCTAAGCCAGGAATTTTCTCCATATCCTGTTACTGCCCCATCACAAAGCACTGGGAGGTTGGGATTCCTAACCAGGCTATGACTGTGAACACATTTACCTCTAGTTCCCATTCTATGTCAATCACCTTTAACTCCTGAAATTTGGTGCCTAAGTTGGTCTCTTTGTGGTCAGTTAACTAGAAATACCTATTTCAAAAGTTATACCCAGGTTAAGCTTATCAGTAGATGTAATGATTTATACATTATGAAAATGATTTAAATTTTCTAAGTTAGCTCCCTCCAAAAATGCAGATTTAGACCATTAAAAATGTGGGCTGGTAGGCTTTTTTAGATCTTTAGCTGCTGCTTTTTTTTTTTTTTTTTTTGTCAAGCAGTTATTCAGGCTGTCCTGTGTGTCCTATTTTTTTAGTACAGGAATCATTGAGCTGCCAGAGAACCAGTAGATCAGAGTGTGTTTTATATAAAGTGGCCCCCGGTATAACCCTGTTCCTTCTTGACATGCGTGATGAAGGTGACTTGAGCTCCTTTCCTGTCCCACTGAAGGTGATGGAGAGGTGGGAGGAGCAAATGGGGAGATGGGTAGGGCCTGGTATGCCTGGGGGATGAGTGGGGGGATGGGGTGGGGGGGTGGACATTCAGTGGCTGCTAAGAGATTTGAGACCTGGAGTGGGATGCTCACTAGGGCCTACCCTCCTGCTTCAGTACCCCTGTACATTAGAGAATACGGCTGCTTCCTTACAAAATGGACCCACCTTATGCGCATATGTTGACAACTGTTTTATCAGAGTGTAAATCCTTTTTGTAAGAAACTTGATATCTACTTGAGTTGGATTCTGTGCATTTTTATAAAAACAGTTGACTCAGGCAAGGATCATAACCTATCCTATAGTCCTAGTGTCACCATAAGGTACCCCAGAATGTAGGACTGGATATCGAATGATAATGTGGAATTGCTAATTTTGGGGTATGATATTAGTGTTATTCTGTCAAGATCTAATAGTCGTACACTGCAATTTTTAGGTGAAATAATGTTTTCCGACATTTGCTTTTCTCAAACTAGAGGAAAAAAGGGGAGATAACTGAATGCTTCAACAGTGGTTATTCTTTCATTATATTTTTACTTTTGTGAATATTCGTGTTTCCATTTAAACAGTGGAGAGGAAAGGATCCTTTAGGTTGGGGACGTTGGGTTATTAGCTCACATACTTGCTGACTCTTCTCTTAGCCACTGTCTGGTGGGGAACTGTGATCTTGGACCAACAGATACCCCCCCTCCCCCCCTCCCCCCGCAAGTAAATACTTGTAAACAAAGGGTTAAAAAAATGGTTCTTACTGCAAGCAGTGCCCTCTGATTTTTTATTTTATTCATTTTTCCTATTAAAAGAACTGTTGGGTGTGACCCACTAAATTGATTTTATAATTAACTTAGCTGTAACTGTCATAGCTGTAACATGAATTAACAGTGAATTTGGGATCTATACCTTATGCTTCTTCCCAGATACTTGTTACAGTGGTTTTTGGATGGCAGGACTGTAGATCAGGCAGTTGGATGAGTAGAGAATGACTGGCAAACATAATTTGTTACTTTCTGGTTGGGAGATACATGGTATGATGTATTTGTATCTTTTTTTAAAATAATATAATAGTTTATTTTTACATCATTTTGTACATTTTTTTCATCTCAATTGTAATCCCCGTGGGTGTATTTGTATCTTATAAGGAACCAGGGAGCCCTTGGTCTTCTTTAGTCAGAGTCCGTAATCCACTGACCATAATAATTTAGATTCAGAAAGCACATGAGAATCTTACAAAGCTTTTAGGGGAGGAGAGACCACAGTGAGAAGAGAATACAGTGAGAGGGGCTAAAGACTTTGCATTTTGTTTGCAAAGTAAGCTGCTCAACACAATGTTCCAGAATGAGAGGCAACCAGTACTTAGCATTTCAGAAGAGACAGGCAAGCATTAGCTAGTTCCACATGGGGGTCCATGCATGTGACTTCAGAAGCAGAAGAGGTGGAGACTGGTGCTGGGAGGGCCTGGGGCCAGGTGTGGGTACAACTGAAATCACTGGAAGTTTTCATCTACTCTCTTAAGAACTTCACTGGCAGTGACTGTTTGCCAGGCATACTGTTAGGGGGATAAATGAGCTGGATGAGCTCTGTACCTGCAGAGCTTGAAGCGAGCTCAGGGCATAGATGAGGGTGGGCTGTTAGAAGTGTGCTTTGATAAGAGCAAATAAGAAAATATTTTTCTTATGAAGACATCAAATACAAGTGTAGAGAAAATCATGCGGTAATGTCCCCTGCTTCCCAACTTCAAACATTAATGCATGACCAACTTGTTTTAGGTATACCTTTTCCTCACTCATCCTCCTCAGGTATTATGGGTTGAACTGTGTCCTTCCTCACTCCCATTTCTTATGTCGTAGCCCTAACCCATAGCACCTCAGAATGGATCTGTATTTGGAGATGGGGCATTTAAAATGTGATTAAGAATAAGTGAGGCCATTAAGATGGGCCCTGATCCTGTAAGACTCATTTTCTTATAAGAAGAGGGAACTTGGACATCCAAAAAGGGATATCAGAAATGTGCACAGAGGGATGACCATGTTGAGGACACAGGAAGAAGACAGCTATCTGCAAACCAAGGTGAGAGGACTTAGAAGGAACCAGCTCTGCCAACACCTGATCTTGAACTTCCAGCCTCCAGCACTGAGAGGGACTCAATGTCTGTTAAGCCGTCTGTATGTACTTTGGAATGACAAAGACATTAGCCTATTTTTTTTTAAGATTTATTTATTTATGCATTCAAGAACTGGGGTACAGGCCAGAGATGTGAGAGGCTTCACCAGAGACAGAGTGGGGAGCAGAACAGGCATATTGACTGAAATACACAGCTGAGGGGAGCAGTGGGTGAAACAGGGGAGGTCTGCTTTGCCATGTGGGTCAACTCCCTGGCCAGGGACAGAACTCATGCTGCTGTGGACAGCTTCATAGTACTGCACTTCAACCCCTTGTGCCACCAGGAGGCCCATAGGCTATTTTGAAGCCATCCTAGATATCAGAGTTATGTGACAAGAGTCTAGTGTAGCAGTTGTAGGCTAGGAAAATGTTGGTGGGAATTGGTTTCAATTTAGCCAGCAGCTTCGGACG